CTTAGCTTTAAAATCCAAGTCAGTCTTATTTAGGAAAATTATATTAGTTTGTATGTAAGGATCCAACTGCTATTAATAATGACCTCTGTTTCTACTTCAAGAAATAATTTTACTTGTATTTTTCACATTGAAATCATGGAGTATGACCCATTTTCCTAACACTGCATTTGTATTATTTTCTTGCTTATCTGCCAGATTCTGAATTTTACCTTCCTGCTTAAACCCACAGTACCCCACCTCTGTGTGAAACAATAGCATTCAAATGCTTCACTCTGCATTTGGTAATTAGACATTTTGGGCCCTAATTTTGATTGGGGTCACAAGTGTATCCCAGGGCCTCCCTGGTGGCTCACGCATTTGGGTGCCGCACTGTGAAGCTGTCCGCAGCCTCTGCAACACAAGTTCGATCCCGGCTAGCTGGTGAGAATCCCACATGGCGAGGCAGACCTCTCCTGTCTTGCCCACTGCTCACCTCAGCAGTGTATTTTTTCAGTCTGCCCATTCTGTTCCCCATTGTCTCCGGTGAATCCTCTCACCCTCCCGCGTATCTAGCCTGTGCCCCGTTCTTGTATTAAAAAAAAAAAATAAGACCTCCCCTGGTGGCGCAGTGGTTGAGCATTGGGCTACAAAGCTGCCCGCAGCCTCTGCAGCGCTGGTTCAATCCCCAGCCGCCAAGCCAGGTTCCCACATGGTGCAACAGACCTCTCCTGCCGCGCCCGCTGCTCCCCTCAGCAGTGTATTTCGTCAAGTCTGCCTATTCTGTTCCCCGCTCTGGCTCTGGTGAATTCTCTCACCCTCCCACACTTCTGACTGTACCCAGTGCTTGTATAAATAAATAAATAAATCTTTAAAAGTAAGAAATTAAATAAATAAAGCCTTAAAAAAAAAAAACCAGGGCCTCCCCGGTGGCGCAGCGGTTGAGTGCTGGGTTGCGAAGCTGCCCGCAGCCTTTGCAGCACCGGTTCGATCCCCGGCCACCGGGCGAGGGTCCCACATGGCGCGCAGACCTCTCCTGCCGCCCGCTGCTCCCCTCAGCAGTGTATCATCAGTCTGCCTGTTCTGTTCCCAGCTCTGGCTCTGGTGAATTCTCTCACCCTCCCGCGCTTCTGACTGTACCCAGTGCTTGTATAAATAAATAAATAAATCTTTAAAAAAAAAAATAAAAAAAAAAAAAACCAAGTGCACCCCAAATTAATGGAAGCTCTTGGATCAGTTTCACATTGTCCTCTATTAACTCTTCATAGTTAATGCCACCCAAACTAGGTATGACCTACCTGTTAGTAAAATATTAATGTATTCCTGTTTACTGATCTGTCTACTACTATAATTTTTTTTTTTTTTTTAAGATTTATTTTGGCGTAGAGGAGCTGTGGTGTAGGCCAGAGGTGCAGCGGGGTGGCGAGAGAAATCACCAGAGCCAGACTAGGGAGCAGAGCAGGCAGATCTACTGAGGTACACTGCTAAAGGGAGCAGTGGGCAAGATGGGTCGGTTTGCTGTGCCATGAGTGGTTTAGCTTCCTGGCTGGGGATCAAACTCAGGCCTTTATGGTGGTGGGCTATCACAATGATAGTGCTGACTTAGCCCCTAGACCACCAGCGAGGTCCTTGTAAAATCATTTTAAAGCAGTTTTCTAAAATTAACTGCTCACTGCCAGATAATGCTCATTACCCTCATTTTTAGATGGAAAAACCCAAGGGACTGCATTAGAATAGGATTTTTTTTACATCAAGATGCTAAGTACAAAACATGACACAGTAACAACAGTTAGCTTTAGGTAGGTAATTGTGCAATCGAATTTATCCAGAGACCTATGAAAGAAAGCATGAGAATGATGAAATCACCTTATAACCTCATCTTCAATCCATCCCTGCATATTATCCATGGAGATATCAAAAGTGATTGGGAATTTCTGGTTTTTGGCTTTCACCTTTTCTCATTTCCTGCTTAGTATGATCATTTTTTTATAAGAAATTGTTAAAATTTCCATAATTCATATAGAAAATACATAATTTTACAATAGTGATATCTGTTATTTCAAGTAACATTTCCTTATACATTTTTAAGGTTAACTACTGTAAACATCTGACACATAGAAGTTATCCAATGAACTTCTAAATTAATATTGGGCGAAATAATTTGAGATGGTAGTTTTAAAGGTGATAATTTTTAGAATTGTTACTAATAAATCTTGTCATTTTAAACCTGTTTTTAAAGTGGTGTTTTTTTTTAAAGATTTATTTGTTTATGTGTACAAGAACTATGGTGCAGGCCAGAGGTGTGGGGGATGAGGACTCACCAGAGAGAGTGGGGAACAGAACAGGCAGATCTACTGAAATACACTGCAGAGGGGAGCAGCGGGCGAGTCAGGAGAGGTCTGCTGCACCATGTGGGTTGCTCCCTGGCCAGGGATCAAACTCATGCTGCAGCGGCTGTTGGTAGTTTCATAGGCTGCGTCCTAACCCCTGTACCACCAGCAAGGCCCCGCAAAGTGGTTACTTTTAACATTCAATATTATTATGCTTTATTTTTCATAGTTGAGATGATACAGGTTCTTCTAGAAATAGTAAATGAAGTTTTAGACTAAGCTTTTGATTCTGTTATTTGCTCCTATGGGAAAGAAATTAATACAGGTATGTCTATAAATCTAAGTAATAGATTAATTCAAGAACTTATGGAAAATATGTACAGTCATAAAACTGATATAAACTAGAAGTGACACTTCATTAATTTGATGATTCTATATAGAAAAATCTAAAGATTATTTTCTGTCATTTACCCTCATTTTTAAGTCTCAGACAATGAAACTTTTCATCTTTTCATTTTCATTAATGTCTGTATAGTTATTCATATAAGGCACTTTGTTCAGAGGCACTTGCCTTTGATGCTAGTTGCTACATTGTCATCAAGATGCATTTTATTACAATAACTGAATTTGTAAGCAAATCTAAGGCTTTCTGTTGGTTTAGAAGACCTGAAATGAAGCAGAACAAAGTACTGTAATTCAATATGGTAAAATTTGTGAATACCATGCTAAAGAACTGGATAGGAAGGTTACTTTTTCAGAGGAATGACGGTGTAACATACAGAAGCTATTCCAACCCAGAGAAGTTAAGCATGGTAATACTCAAGTGTTTAAAAACTGAGAATGGTCACTTGTGTAACCTTATAAGCCTCAGTTTTCAACTATAAGAGGTTGAACTTGACTGTCTTGTCCCAAATTTTACAATCCTAGAACAATCAGCCCCCAGTGTATCCAATAGATACTTCTTAGAGGAGGAGGAAGATGAATTGGCTTGTGAATAGATAGGATTAATTCGATGACATGAGGGGACTGGAAACTTTGAAGTGCAGAAAATGTGAGCCAAGATATGATCAAGTAGGAAGGAGTAAATAAAATATACTAGATTGAAAGTAGACATTGGTACTGGGGAATAGGTAGAGAAAAGAGTTAACCATGTTTGAGATTGTTTTCCCTTGTATAAGATGCCCTAATTTCTAGTAGAAGGAAATAAGTATTTAGGTTGCCTGTAGTCCTGGAAAAGTCAAAGTGTGATGATTTAAAGAAAAAATAATTTGTAAGAAATATTGATAGAAAATCTAGGCTTAATTTTAGACAAGCTTTCCCTAAACATTAAGAATATGTGACTTTGAAATCAACAAATTGAGAAATCTTGAAAGAAAAGGGTTACATAGAAAAAATCTAAAATCAGATTTTTTTTCTCTAGGTATTATTGACCTTATTACCTTGGGAATTATTGGTGAATTAATACCACAATACTGTTTTTAACCAGAAACACTTTTCCAGTCTCTGATTCACATTGAACCCTTAGTTCAAGTTGTTGATTCTTTGCTAGTGTCTTTTCCTTTGTCTTCAACTGAATCTTAGGCATGAAAATTTTCCAGCTCACTTTTCCTCTGTAGCCAGAAATACCATTTTTCTCCTTTATGCTTTTAATTCTAACACAATAATTAATGTATTCTGCCTTATGGCAGAGGCTAACTTACTCTTTATTGTATACTCTGCAATCATAGCATAATGGGTGCTTAATATTTCAGTAGTAGTTATGACTCTACATTCTGGATATGCTTAATACCAGCTAGATATATGTAGAAGTGCCCACACACTTTCCTAGTAATTAAGGGTTTCCAGCTTTTACTGTTTCATGATGTAAATCTTAACTACTTTATTAAGGTGTCTTTTTTTTTTTTTTTTTTTTAAACCAAAGCCAGACAGAAACCTGTGGGTGGGTGTATAAATAGTTGAAAAACCTGTGAAATTTTGATAGCCCTTTTTTGAGGGCCAGTGATTAAATGATCCTCTAGCTTTAAAGCTTTCCAACAAAGTACAATTTGACTGTTTTCATTGACCTTTATTTGTGTGTCTTTAAGATCAGTGATGGTAATAGGATGAAAAATGCTTACATAAAAAAAATATTTTTTAAGAAACACCACTACTATAATCACAAAATCAAATGTATTGAACATTGCTATAATTCTTTAAAATGATGATAAAGTTAATGAAATGTTTCTGTGTCTGGTATGCAGTGGCTTACCAGAAGCATTTTATTGAACAAAACAAGGTCTTCTTACAAACTTTCTTGGACAATTTTGTGTAAGACTATACAAGTCACACCAAAAACACTTCCAGGATTCTAAGGAAGCAAAGAAAATTGTGAATTTCAAATATGTAGCATTTGTCTTCTGCTAATACATTTAAATTACTGTATTTAAATGGATATATCGTTATGTACCCTTGGACCTTTTATATGAAATTTATTTATCAGACAGTCTGTTTTCCAGAACTTATGTATAAATTATATATTATTGATAAGTCTATATCTGCCATTGTGTTCTGGCATAGTTTTGAGGTACTTGACATTAATGTTAACATATAACATTTAGCCAAAAGTCAAGAATTCAGTCAACAACTAAATAATAGTTTCTATGGTAAAAGCGGTTTCCTCTATATTGAATTACTCATTCTTATTATTCATTCTAGGCATGAATTTTGACATCACCCTCCCCTTCAAAAAAAAAAAAAGGTGAAGACTTTTTTACCATAGACACCTAGACCACATGGAAAAAGGATTTTCTCAAAAGAAGTAGAAATCATACGTTGTACACAGTGTCCAACAACAGCTCCTTCTAGTAAAGGGCAATAAATATGCCACATGAAATGATCTCAGCACACAACTCTAAGTAAATTTGGGGACTCACAGGGAAATTGGACAGTTGTCTCCATTGACTCAATAAAAAGACTTCAGTTTTATAGTTTGTGGCATGTATGGTTATAAATTAAGATGCACTGAATTATCAAATAATGGACTTTTCTAGTCTGTGGATGAGAATTTATACCAAAATAGATGGCAATATTCCTCCCAAAAGCAACTTGGGATCAAGGCCTTTTAGATCTGAAGTAAAAATTATGTGAATTTAGGTAACTAGGTAAGAGCTGTTTGGGAGCCTTTGCAGGGAAACCAATTAAAAACTGTAATTTTGATTCTGCAAGGAATAGGGAAGCATTCAAGCCTGTTGAAACAAAATAATGGAAATTGATGAGTAATGGAATTTTTGGAAATTAAATGTGGCAATACACAACATAGGAAAACTGTAAGAAATGACCTGGTGGCAAGGAAACTGGGTGTATGAAACTATTATAGTAATCTAGAAATACAGAAAACCAGTAGAAAAGAGAAGTGTTGAGATTGGAGTTGAAGTAACTAAGATATTTCAAAAGAAAAAACTAAAATATGAGCTGAAGAAAAGGGAGGTATTAAAAAATAGACATTTTCTGGGCCTCTCTGGTGGCTCAAGGGGGATAAGCACCGCAATATGAAGCAATCTGCAGCCTCTGCAGCACAACTTCAATCCCCGGCCTGCCAGGGAGCAACCCACATGGTGAGGCAAACCTCTCCTGTCTCTCCTGCTGCTCCCCTCAGCAATGTATTTCAGTCAATCTGCCTGTTCTGTTCCTCATTCTGTCTCTGATGAATCCTCTCACCCCCCACATTTCTGACCTATACCCCAGCTCTTGTATGCATAAATAAATCTTTTTTAAAAAATGCATATACACACACACACACGTTTTCTATACTGGAAAACAATAGTGGTATCACTGAAAGAAAGCTAGTTTAAGAAGGAAAGAGTGCCATTTTTGTAAAATAGAAAATGATACACTGGCATTCCATCAGAAATGCTTCGAATAAAGGTTGTTGAAATATACAGAACTGGAATTCTATAGAAAAGGCTGGAGGAGTAAATTTGTCACTTATCCACCTAAAATTTATAAGGTATATATATAAACAGGAGGACTTTGTTAAGAACAGTAGATCCTTTATGATGAGATTACATTATTTGATGCATGTGCAACTTTAAACATTTCCAAAATTGAATTAAAACTCTCCCTTTATCATTAGAGTGTCATATGTCAAGCTTGTGCCTTTAAGAAAATCCCTACACGTGTATCAGCTATAAGGGTTAATGACTAAAATGCATTAATATTTTTGAACACAATATTAGACTGAGGGAATGAAATTGAGGACTTAACGGTCCAAACGATTCAGTTAAAACTTTGTAAAAATTGATGTGATTTAATGTCTCAAAGGGAAGGCAATTAATTGAATTGTGGGAAATGTGCTGGTCTCCAGTTTCAGAAACATTACAGTACAAAGACCTGGCATTCTTGCTGAAGAGCTGTAATAATAAACAGATATTTGAAAACCAGGAAGACAAGTTTTCCAAGAGTGCAACTGTGACATTTCAAAGGAGATATAATAAGAAATTCCGGAAGATGGCCAAAAATAGGTTTAGGTAATTGAGATTCCTTATTTGTTTTTGATGGAGAAACACAGTTAAGAGGAAATTAAGGTTCTAAGAGCTTTGAAACTTTTTCTCCTCACCCTCAATCACACTTGCTTCTGAATAAAAGTGTTTGCCAAAAATATCAAATAGGAATTCAGCATTGCTTAAATTATAGCCAGGAGTTAAAAAAGTGACCACAGCAAGAAAAAAAAAATTTATAATTAATTAAAAGCAAATATTTTGGTTTTCTGGAAGCTAAACCTTGTTTTGTGGGAGTCCTTTATACAAAGCAAAGTATCTTGCTCTATTTACCTTATTGCTTGCCATGAAAAATAACTACCCGTCACTAGAAAGAATACCAATTTTTAATTAACATATTCTATTTTAATGTGTAAGGAAACCTAAATTGTTAATATGCATTTCCAAAATAAATTTTAAAGCTTCAGTGTGTAGTGTGTTGACTATAGACCATTTCACCTCAATCCTTGAACCATTTGATTAATCCAAGTTCAGTGAACCTATGACTACAGGCTATTCAAAACTGGAAACATCTTTTTTCTGTATTTCCATCCTAGTTACATCTGATTTATTTGCTGTCCTGCCAACTTTTATCATTTCATGGCTTATGGAGGTAAGTCAAGATTTAAAATTAGTTATGTTCATGTAACAGTCACTCTGAACTTGTATTTCCTTAATGTCTCTTTAATTACTAAGCATTCTTCTATCATTGCATCTTTATTAGCAAATTACATATATTCCAGTTTTAACTGGGCTGTTTTTGTATAACTTTCAACTAGTTAGTATTCCTATACATCTCTTTCTGTGATTCCCCAAGTAAACTTTTAATAGAAAAAGACCATGAGTTTTCCGTAGTCTTTTAACTTGAATCAATTCTCTCAGACTATGTATAATATATATGTGTATAATATCCTTATCTATCTTTTAATCTACTATAATTCTTGTTTTTCCCAAGTCCCTTTTCCATGTGACTATAGTGTTTCAAACTTTCAGTTCAGTTTGTTAGAGGTCCCGCACTATGGGGAATATAAAGGACAGGATAAAAGCACAGTCCCCGTCCTCATCTTGAAAGAATTCATGAAACCTCAGGCATTGTGGCTAGACTTTCTTGGGGTCTCTTACTACAAGAAGAGTAAGGCAAATGTCTCCGATTTGGTTTCCAACTTGAGAACCCAAGGAAATTCAAGTTCTTGCCAAAGAGTGAAATGATGAAGAATAACATGAAATAGAACATCTCACAGTGTAGAGAAATATTAAGGCATGTTTTAAGCTTAGTAAGTGCAAGGTTTTCTTGTGAATTTTTTTTAAGATTTATTTATTTATGCATACAAGAGCTGGGGTACAGGCCAGAGGTGTGGGGGAGAGGGGGGAAGAGGATTCACCAGAGACAGAGTAGGGAACAGAACAGGCAGACTGACCAGCAGAACAGGCACTGCTGAGGCATGCAGCAGGCGAGCCAGGGAGAGGTCTGCTGCACCATGGGGTTTGCTCCCTGACTAGCCGGGAATCTAACTCGCGCTGCAGAGGCTGTGGACAGCTTCACAGGCTGCATCCCAACCCCTTGTGCCACCAGGGAGGCCCTTGTGAAAATTTTTAACAACTTTTCATCTCTAATAGGCCAAATAGAAGGCCTAATAATTTTTGAGGTAATAATTCTGTGGTAATTGTGCTAGTAATTGCATTTTTTTACTAGGTGATTGGTATTACAGAAATCTAAATAGTAATACATTTTCATATCATGATTGTTGAATTTTTTGCTTAAAAAACTATGTTTTATTTCACATTACTCTCCTATGGTCCTTTGACCCCAGGAAAATAATGAAATTTCCTCAGTGGCTTCTCACATTGCTAAACCTGTTCTTAGAAGTTAACGTTCCCAGCGCAGGAAAAATTACAGTAGAATATAAGCATTTTTGAGTGTTCTTAGCAAGTTATTACCCAAGCAAGGTATCTGGTGATAAAATTACTATTTATGATGGAGAAGCTATACAAATTTTATAAAGCAAAACTGAAGTTTGCAGGGTGTAAACAGTATATTAGACAAAATAGAAAGCAGGTTCTGATTTCCTAAACCACATTATTTCTCAAACTGCTTTCTTCCTTGGCCCTTTTTTATAATTTCAGGCTTCTAATTTCAGATAAGAGCCTAAAAGTAGTCCAAATTAATTCTGACTTTACCAAGTCTAAGAACTCTTTGTCATATTAAATCCAAGAGTAAAATTCAATGTTAAGAGCTCTTTTTTCAGAAAATCTTTGTAGAGAGAACTTCCAGTCAAGGTTCAGGAATAAGCTAACACCTTTAGAGCCTTATCAGAAATTAAACCATGAGTGATTGAAAAGAGCTGAAACAAAAAACTGGAGTGGAAGAGGGAAGCCCAACTGTAGATAGTACCTTAACATATCATTGTGGTATTTCATACTTGTATACAAGAGATGTATATGATTTGATAGACCAGTTTTCAGTGTAGGTGGCCAAGATAGGCTTGTATCATTACTTTTCTTAGCATTTAAAATAAAATTGACAAATCAATTCATTCAAGAAGAATTAAGTGGGCCCCATGATATGCTAGTCTTCCTAAAACAAGCAAGTTCTTAATTTGCCTGTGTTGCATCTAACATATCCTTGTTTCCTTCAAACTATATTTGCCTGTCTCCTCTTCTAAAGGTTCAATTTTTTGCATGTCCTCACATCCCAGTTAGTGTCCTACTCTATTTTGTAGTGAACACAAGAGGCTTACCGAAATATTGACAGATGTCACCAGATGAGAAAATCTCTAAAATATTTGCTAAACTCAAATCTACCTTATTTTCCTTAATGAATGATATTTTTTTAATTGTGTTACTCTATCTCCTTCTAAAAACCTCTGCATTGTGAACTCATAACTTTCAAAAAAACTAATAAAAGACCAAAGTTATTTTAATTTAAATCTATAACCAATGTTATGAAATGTATTTGTTGTAAGGTCTAATGGAAAGACATTTTGCTTCTTGCAATATCTCCGATGTTTAGAATAGTCCTTGGCACACAGATACCAATAAATATTTATTGAATGAATGTTATGCATTTTGTGTTTCCATAGATAATGTTTCTATCAGCACATTTAAAAAAGTTTTCTCATTTCAAACTTTTATTTCTCACCTGCAAATGTGAATGACTAAGAACATATTAACAGAACTTTATTACTATTATTATTTTTGTTTAAATATTTATTTGTTTGTTTGTTTATGCATACAAGAGCTGTCATGTAGGCCAGAGGTGAGAGGATTCATCAGAGACAGTGGGGAGCAGAACAGGCAGATTGACTGAAATGCACCGCTGAGGGGAGCAGTGGGTGAGACAGGAGAGGCCTGCTGTGCCATGTGGGGCAGCTCCTTGACTGGGGATTATGCTGCAGTGGCTGCCAATAGCTTCAGAGTGCTGAGACTTAACCCCTTGCGCCACCAGAGAGGCCCCCTAACAGCACTTTTAAACATTTCCTGACTTAATCCTTGTGAAGCTATGTTTTTTTTTATTTCCATATTTTTTAATCAGTTGTATTTTCAATCTTGCCAGCAAAACACTGCACAGAGTGTAACACATATAACTCTACCAGCTGTACCCAACTAGAATGGAAATATTGTGCTCTACAACCAAACACATCATCCCCAAAACTAAGATGACATATGAAAACAACTAAGTTGGCTTTTCTTCAGAAAAGCGATGAATGCCACCAAAATCATAACATTTACTTGTAGGGCTTTTTTAAAATTTGTATTATTAGATTAGTATTAACATTATTCATCTTGACGCATTTTGTACTTTAACATACTTAACCACTTGAGATACTGTTAGGATATTTCAACAAAAATATCTTCCCCACAACCTAGTACACAAATGTGTAACTAATCACTAGCATGTTTCTGGAATACAATTTCTTTACTACGTAGAGGGGTTTCACAGGAAGAGTAGTAAACTTTGTGTCCTTATGCCTTAACAATCCCCTTAATGCCCCCCAACACACATACATACTCACATACAATTTTTCAGGTATGGCATCTTCCTTTTAAAAAAATAAAAAAGATAATGTATCTGGTGAAAAGTAAATGTTCCTCCCACATCTAAACACCATTCATCCGGTTTCCTGTCCACAAGTGACATGTAGTTTTGCTGAAAATTCCATGCACGAGTATAACTTTTTTCACAAAGGTAAAATATATAAAGTTGAAATATCTTTTCCACTTATGTATTGTTTTATGCCTTGCTTTTCTGCACTTACAAATATTTGACAGTCCTTATCAATTTATAAACTGCTGTCATTCTTCTTAAGGTCTGTATTGTATTTCATTTTATAATTCATAATCCACTCCTTATTGTGAACTTCTAATGTTTTGCTGTTAGGATGTACTTTCTCACTTGAGTGTTGAGTTCCTTGAGAATAAAGATTTTTGTCTTACTCATTTTTCAATACTGAAAACTTAGGATAATGTCCAACCATTGTTTAACAGACTTTTTTAATGAACTGTGTTCAACAGCTTCCATTAAATGGTGTTTAACCTTAGTGTGTGCAAAGTACTTGGTGCTCTTTGACTTAATGACTCCTCATCTAAATGTTTATTTAAAATGACATGTATAAAAAGATTCACTGGATCAAAGTTATGTATGTATTAAATTTGATAGCGGTTATTCAAAAACTTCAACAAATGTAGGTACTAAATAGTAACAAGAGTGATAATTCTGTTACTAAGTGTTCAGCACAGTGCTTTACACATAGTAGTGTTAAAAATTGCTCAGTGCATTGAGCTCATATTCAAGTGAGAAAATTTTGTTTTTATGCTGGCATATAAGTCAGTACAGAAGAAAGACCTGATTAATATGCCTGGGAGAGAAGGAAGAACAAGGCCTCACAAAGAGGTACAATTGGAAATGGGCCATTCATACTCTTCATCATTACTAAGAGTTACTGAGTGCCTACCATGTGCCAGGCAATGTATTGAGTACATTATCTCCTTTAACCCACACATATCCTTTTCTTATTACCCCATTTGATAAATGAAGTTGAAGCACAGAGGAGGCGTAAATGACTTATTTAAGTCATATAGCTAGTAAGTGATTGATTTGGGATTGGAAAACAAGCAGTCTGACTCTAGAGCCCATTCTTGAAAGCTGTGTAAGGGTTCTGGAAGAAAAGAAAAAGAGGCACTTAACAAAAGGAACATGTGCCAAAGCACCAAGTGCACAGTGTTATTTTGAAAGCAACAGGCATTAGCAGGCCTACCTAAGCATTGTTGAGGAGTGGTTCCCCAAAGATGGCATTGTAGGAGGCAAGTTCAAAAAGTTAGGCTGAGGACATATTTCACTAAAATATGCTCTAAATATGGGAATTTCCAAACCAGAAAATGACTATCCTTTCACTTCTAAGAGAACAAAGAACCTCATTTGTTTTTCTTAGATTGCTCTGGCATGATTGGTAGTCTCTGTTTTCAGTGTTTTGTTCATGGTGAGAGCTTCAGATCTTTTTTTTCTTTCAAAGATATAGCATTCAGTTTTGTCTTCAGATACTGTTCTAGTGCTGACCAGATTGAAGCCTTCCATTAATAAAGTGTCAATCAGTAAGCCGAGGACATTAGTTCCATTGGCCAATTTTCGGTTATCAGGTTTTATAGAAACATACCTAGGACACACAAAAAATATTAAATTATAAAGCATCCTTTTAATAACTAGCAAAACTAAACATATAAATTTGACTTGTACCTCAAGTCATCATATACATCATACCATTTTCAGTTAGATTATTTTAGACTTCATTTATAAATCCAAATCAGTAATTTCAGGATACTGCAAATAGAGAGCTTAAAAGATTGTAATTCCACCTTTAGGACTATAACATTGATGAATTTTTTTTAATTTTATTTTTATATTCCCCATACAATTGCAACCCCCTTATTTTGACCCCAATCCCTCCTTCCCCTCCCCCCCTAGTATGTCTCTGGTTCATAGCTGTTTGATTTTGATTTTTTTGTTGTTGTTGTTATAGCCTTTCTTTTTCCTGGTCCCTTATTTAGGTTTTCTAGATTCCTGCTATGAGTGAGACCATCCGGTATTTTTCTTTTTCTTTATGGCTTATTTCGCTAAGCATGATCCCTTCCAGCGCCATCCATGTTGCTGCAAATTGCATGTGTTTATCTTTTTTGAATGCTGAGTAATATTCCATGGTGTATATGTACCACATCTTCTTGATCCAGTCATCTATTTTTGGGCATTTGGGTTGTTTCCAAAGCTTAGCTATTGTAAATAGTGCTCCTATAAATATAGGGGTGCAGGTGCTCTTTGGAATTGGTGTTTCTGTGTCCTTTGGGTAAATACCTAGGAGTGGAATTGCTGGATCGTATGGAAGCTCTATCTTTAGTAAGTTGAGGAATCACCACACAGCTTTCCACAGTGATTGGACCAGTTTGCACTCCCACCAGCAATGCAGGAGAGTTCCCTCATGAATTTTCTTTTTTAATTAATCTTAACTAACATTGGGATATCCCTACCATGTATTACATTGGGATATCCCTACTATGTATTACCACCATAGTGCATCCACCACAAAATTGCCCATACTCCTCCACCACAGACCATTATGCCTCCCTGCTTCCCTGTTCTTTTCCCTCCACCATCCTCTCCCCACTTGGTGTTTCAGTTCTGTAGTCAGCTGTCAAAGGCAAGTTTTCAGCTTATCTTTATCTTGACTATTTTAGTTATTTTATCTTTTTTAAGTTTTTTTATTTTTTAAGATTTATTTTGGTTTTATGCATACAAGAGGTGGGGTACAGGCCAGAAGTGCGGGGGAGGGGTGTGTGTGTGTGACAGGATTCACCAGAGACAGAGTTGGAAACAGAACAGGCAGACTGACTGAAATACACTGCTGAGGGGAGCAGCAGGCAAGTCAGGAGAGGTCTGCTGCGCCATGTGGGTAGCTCCCTAGCTGGGGATCAAACTCGTGCTGCAGTGGCTGCAGTTAGCTTCATAGATTGCATATTAACCCCTTGTGCCACCAGAGGGGCTCTATTTTAGTTATTTTATATTCCACATATTAGTGACACCCTCCAGTATTTATCTTTCTCCTTCATACTTGGCTTAGCATTAGCCTTAATCATTGAGAAATTATTTTATGGAAACTAGCATAATTCTTTATAATTTGTTTCCAATTTTTGTTTTTAGTTTATTAGTTTTCATTCAATTTAGTCAATCATTTTGATGAACATTTTATACATTCATAATTTTCCCCACCATCTAATTTTACCCATTACTAGTACTGACATCAATAGTCCATTGTTGAAGAGCAAAAATGATGTCAAAAGTTCTCCAGAGTTGAAAATACAAAACTTTCTATTCTCAAGGAAACTGAATTGGACCAATGCATAATTCAGGAAAAATATACCAACTTTTAGATTAGCTATATGTTGATTTTAACAATGTCAACATGCCCACGTAGAAATAGCTGTATTACTTCCTTATCTGCCAGCAAGGGTAATTTTATGTCTTTATGTTCTCCCACCATTTTCTTTTCAAGATTTATTTATTTATACATACAAGAGCTGGGGTGTAGGCCAGAGGTGTGGTGGGGTGGGGACAGCTGAGAGCATTCATCAGAAACAGTGGGGAGCAGAACAGGCAGATCTACTTAAGTATACTGCTGAGGGGAGCAGCAGGTGAGACAGGAGAGGTCTGCTGTGCCGTGTGGGTCAGCTTCCAGGCCTGCCAGGGATCAAACTCAGTAGCTTACTAGCAGTATCTTTAACCCCTGTGCCACCAGGGAGGCCCCACTCTCCCACCATTTCTTTTGTCATGTGAAGAAATGTTTTAACTTAGTCCCAGGAAGCAACCTAAGCTATCTGTAGTTTTATGGGATTAGAAAGAACCTTGGGGCTATCACTAGCCTCCTTTTAATTTTGATTCAAATAGAGTGATTATTGTAGGTTGCATTTAAAATTAATTCTAGGCAATGAAAACCTGATACAATATAAGAACAATAAAACTACAAAGTTCATTATAAAAAAAGTTTATTGTTTGATACAGCAAATTTTTAACAGTAAATCAGTCTATCTACTCTCCAGCCCCAATCTTGATTGTGTAACCTAGAAACATTTATCAAAGAGAAAAAAAGTTACAGATTATCTCACAAATTAAGATACAAATAGCAACATAGAAGATGATAAAGTGGAATGCACTTGCAAGAAATCATTTGAGCCAAGGACTTGATTCCCTATAAGGGCAAATTGAGAAATGAAAAGTTTCAAGACCCAGTAAGAAACCAATGGGAAATAGAAAATCAAAACTTATTTAAAAAATTTTAAAGGCAACCACACTTTCACATTTGAGACAGTTTAAAAAGGTCAGAACAAAGTCTATCAGATATAGACCTGGGCAATAATATACCTAATGTGGGCCTTTTAAGATCAGGGTTTTCATCTGATCACCAGAAATCCTAATGCCACTTCAAATTATCTCTACTTTGAAACTGACACTATGTATCAAGTTGGGGAAATTTTCCAACTTCAAAAAACTGAAAAGAATACTATCTGGTGATGCAAAAAAAAAATAGATTTGGTTTTGGAATTACCTGCTTTGGAAGTTTAACTGTAATGCCATTCTCCTGCTAAGGTGAGAACATACCATGTCTAAAACACACTCAACAGAGGGGAAACCACCTGGCACTGTGTGCAATATCCCAACTTGAGTCTCTAATCTTGTTTTTCAAGATAACAATTTTCTCCAAATGCATAGTTCTTTTTAAAGAGCATTAAATATTTAACAGGATATCATTTTACTGTCTTTTAATGTTTCTTCTAGAATCAATACTATTTTTCCTTACAATTCTAATTTTAGAAAGGAATTCCAAAAAATCTTAAGCAAAAAAAAAGGGCTCATTTCTTTTTTATGTCATTGTCCCACCAATGAAAAGAAAGTTGTGCACATGGGTATCACACAGCAGTTTGCAGCAGAAACTTGAGTTTTCTTCACAATCTGTATTAGTTTCTCTTTTACCAAAATGACATTTCAATCTCTTTCGAAGGATAGGAAATTACAAAGTGTAAAAACTGTTGTACTGCCTAGTGTCCTCCCCTTTGGTGAGCAGGACTAAGGGGTTTGTTGTGAGAGAGGCACACGCTGATCCTTCCCGATAGCTAAAGTCATCCCAAGTATGTCTATCTGCCTTTACTCATTTTAAAAAATACATTAGTTTAATTACTATCATATTCTGTACACCTTATTTTTGCTTCTGAAAATTAAAGCCAAATTTCATAGTGAAATGGTGGGGCAGCATTAAGACATACTTAGGGGGAAAAATGTGCCCATGACAGTAGAAAATAGCCTTAAGGTTCAACCAAGAACATGGGAAGTGAGTAGCCCCAGAAGCAACTGTCTTTAAAATACTGACAGTTTATCCCAATATTTTAAGTTGTCTAAGAGTGCCAAAGATTAACAGGCTAACAAATTAGCCATGGAATATTTATCTTCCTTTGTGGTGTTTCAAAATAAAGTAGGAAGGAGGAAAATCAAAGAAGCGAAAAAAAATAAAATCAAGGAAGTCAGAAGAAGGTATTGAGCCTTTATATACTCTGTGCCAGGCACTCAAAGAATCTCTCTTGGGGGAAACAAAGTATCTCATTCTTAAACTAAATTCATTCCAATAAAACATAATCTGTAAAAATGATTCCTACATCTTAACCATAGTTCCAGTTTTCCTTGGTTGTCCTAAATAGTCACAGTATTAATTTTACTGTGAAAAGTATTCCAACTTGAAAAGTATTTGGTCATTCTACTCAACTCTACAAATTACCTCCAAAACATTACCTTCAGTAATTTTTTGCAAGTTTCAGTCACGAAAATTTTTCAGTTTTGAGAGGAAACATCAAGAAACAGAAGAGAGATGCTTCTAAGCACAAAATACCTGACTCCAGCTTGGTTATCAGTCATGCTGTCACAGCCACACTGGAAAACCAGGTCATGGTAAGAAGGCCTTTGTGGAGGCAGTGGAAGTAAGTTGATCTGAGGAGGGAGAGAGTCACTACTCCAGGATGGTGCTGAAGATTGCTCTATAAATACTGTAATCCTCCCAGTTAGCATCTCAATTGTTTTGCTGCAAGAGCTAAATACTCTGAAAAAAGCTTGAGTATTTCGACTTAGGAAATGCACTTCCACAACAGCAGGTCTTGACTGTAGCAAGTGTTCTTGGTTTAAAAGACCAACCAAAGAATCAAGTTCATAAAAAAGAGCCTCTCTCTGAAGCCTAAGGTAGTCTGAAAAGTCAGTGGGCAATAAAAGCTGGTGAGTTCTCAAAAAGTCTATGATGTGACTAAATAAAACACCATCTCTGTCCACAAAAATCTGGCCACCAACCATCTGGAATTCTTGGTCTTTGCCATCTAACATTCGTGCCAACCGAGAGGCAGGAAACTGCTTTAAGGTGGAAAACCTTGTTGTGAATATCTTCCCTCCCACATTCAAAGTAACCAATTCCTGACTACTCATTTTTTAGTTTCAACCTAGAGGCTACAAACCATCTGCCACAGGCTTAGAAATTTGTAAGTCAACCTATAACCATTAGTGTTGCTAGTTACATATGATTAAGAAATGGAGGGGAGGGGAATACAACAAAAGAGACCTACATTCCCAAGTAACTAGTATAAAACAAATGGTGTATCCATAGCTGTGTTTGCAAATTTTAGTTGCTTGGGAACTTGAAGTGTACAAAATAAAGCAACAGATGAGGAACTGAATTGTCTAAAGAAAAACTTTCAATATACCTGAAGTCAAATAGATACCTTTCCTGTATCCCATAAACAAATTAATGAAATCCTCTTGTAAATTTAAAGAAAAATATATTGGGGACAGAAAAGCACTTACCATCCCCAGACCACTAACCTATTATGAACCCTCATAGCAGAAAATTTACGGAGAAACACTTGGAATTCTTTATGATCCCCTCAGCCATTTAACGACTAAATCTTAAATTGGTTATGGATGACAGAGTTATTGCCTCAACTACCAGCTTTGACTCCTCATAGCTAGAATAACTATCCCTTTAAATTTAGTTACCACCTTTTTTTTCTGTCCCTGCTTGTACTACCTCCGCTCAACCAAATTAAAGGACTGGAGTAAAGACTCTAGGCTTTCAAAGCAGTTTCATAACATGACAGAAATAAGCAGCACTAAGATCAGATCACTTCTTGTTTTCATCTTTCAATGAAAAAGGAAAATAAACCCTTGTAGAAAAATTGGAAATCCAATCCATCCATATTTTCTTTCCTTTAAAAGACTATTCACTCCCTCAAAAATTACTTTATTAAAGAGGAGTCTATATTACAGATTAAATGAACAATCACTATTTTCACTCATCACTACAATATTACACACCATGTGCTCTCTCATTTCCCACTTTTACAGCATAAACACAACCAGTACTGGGGGTAGGATTTTTATTTCAAAAGTAGTCCTTAAAAAAGAGGGACTATACTGTTAAATTTCACTTTTTTCTTAATGCTTTCTAATTTGAGTATGTATAAGACATTATTTCTGAAAGGAATACTTCTGTAGGAAAATAATCTGACTGGACTCTGAACTGCCATTCTCTTTGCTAGCAAGTATCTAACAAAGAACAGAGAACTACAGAGTTGAAACAGATTTTATAATAGTTTATATTTGCACACAAATTCTGCCACACTGGTCAGCACCACCAAAGTAAAATTCTTAAAATTTTCACTAAAAATAAGAAACTCATTTGTCACCTGTTCCCAATAAAAACCTGATTGTTCCACAAAATCAGCTGAGTTGGTCAAATAGGAACTGAAATTTGAAAGATAGTCTTTCCAAGTTGTGAATTCATCAAATAAAGACCATTCAAGGAATATGGCAGGACTGAAGAAAATGAGAAAGCCAAGCAGAATTACTACCGCAAATAACTGAGAAAAGCTCCAGGGAATCTTGGTAATGAATGTGCCAGTGTCTTGTGGTAAAGAAAGTTTATCCACATCTACTAGTTTTATGTCTTCCCACTGACTGGTATCAAAATTCTTCATTAAAGGACTTGTGGGCAAATTAGAGGGGGGTAAAGGAGTTTCCTTGATTACTTTGATTTTCTCCCTGAACTCCTGCATCTGTTGCAGAAATACAATGGGTTCTGACACATCTTTGAAAGCTTCAGCAATGTTAAAGGCCATTCGTTGCTCCTGTAAGATGGTATTGAGTTTGTTGATCTCTGGGTCATAGGCTTGCATAACTGCAAGTTTCATGGTCTCAAAGTCAGACAGGATTTCATTCTTCTTTTGATCCAATGTGTGTTGTAACTTCTCAAAGAACTCCTTCACTTTATCTGAATCTTTAGTTAATAACTGTAGAGATTTTCTTTTGCTAGTTTCTAGGGTATCCAAACGAGAAAGCGCATCTCCCCTTCGCCAGGTCTCAAAGCTCTGGAAAAGGGATTCAAAGGCATCCCTTTCCTGAACATAGGCATCTTCAATAGAACAGAAGACATGCTTAGTATGGTCACCTCGAGTAGCACAGATCCCACAAATCAGCTGCATATCAGTCAAGCAAAAAATGTTCAGAGGCTGCCCCAGGTGTCCTTTGCATACAGGCATTTTGGGAGAGATCTTGATCTTGTTATACTTTTCTACAATACCCTTCAGGGAGTAATTAACCTGCAAGCTGTTGACTCCTGTAGCTGAAGTTTCCTTACGGCATGTGGGACACTTGAAGGGAGATGATCTCCACAGTGAATTCCGCACACTGCCCTCTAAGATCCCTTCTAAGCATTTTTTGCAAAAGTTGTGTGAGCAAGGCAAAACTCGAGGATCATCAAACAGACTGCAACAAATTGGGCACGTGAGATCTTCTTCAAGCAGCTCCATCACATCCTACCATAGAGAAAGAAAATTTTATTTTACTCCAGTAATCCTCCCCCATGTAATAATTTTAAGGAACTGTCTTCACAAACATTAAAAATGATCTTTAAGTGAACCAGGCAAACAAAAGAAATGTGAGAAATTTGAGAAGGGAATGCACACCCAGCAGATTAAATCTGCTAGGTCTGGAAACATTGCTCCATAAGTAGGGATCCCTGTAACACAAAGCCTTTGTGTGGGCTTTCCAACAACAGTCTTTGCCTGAGACAGGGTTAGGACTAGGACAACTGCAAGTTGAGCCAGCAGGACCCAACTGATTGTTCTAAAACAACGCCAACTACTAGCTGTCAGAAACAAAGCTACTCAGTGTCTAAGTAAATAGAATGAGCTCTTTAGTGTTGGCCCACAATTATAAAAGGGTATGCTATTTAAAAGAAAGCAGCACAGAAATATAAATCCAAGCATGTACTCTCATGTAGAGTACTCATTTCAATTTTATTGAAAATTGGCATTTTTTTTCTGTTTCAAAGGCAAGATTACAATTATTAGTATCATTGGTAAAAATGACAGTTGTGGGCCTCCCTGGTGGCGCAGGGGATTAGGACATAGCCTATGGGTCTGTCCACAGCCGCTGCAGTTCGAGTTCAATCCCTGGCCAGGGAGCAAGCCACATGGCGCAGAAGAGCTCTCCTGGCTCACCGCCTGCTCCCCTCAGCTGTGTATTTCCGTCAATCTGCCTGTTCTGTTCCCCACTCTGTCTCTGGTGGGTCCTCTCACCCCCCGCACCTCTGGCCTGTACCCCAGTTCTTGTATGCATAAATAAATAAATCTTTAAAAAACAAAAAACATAACAGTTGCAATTCACTCTTCCCTAGAGAATTAAATGTTCTTTGTTTTTAAGCACCAGAATAATGGTTAGAAACATCTTGTAAGACACACAACACCAGTTCTTAAAATGTGGTAGGCAGAAACCTGGGTGTCCCTAAGACTCTTTCAGGGCATCCATGAGCTCAATAATACCACCAAGATGTTATGTGCTTTTGGCACCATGATGATAACTGCACTATAAAAGCAATGGTGAGCAAACACTACTGGAACCTTACCAGGAATCAAGCCAACTGATAACACCAAACTATAGTACTAGTCATTATACTATAGTCATTATACTAGTCAAATTATAGTACTAGTTCATCAACCTGCAATGGGTGATGGCCAGAGTCATTTAAGAATGTTCTTGATGAACTAGTAAAAATTACTTATTACCCCTTGATCCTTGTGTGTGTTTTTAATTTTTTTTTTAATGACAAAATAGAAGTAAACACAAAGTATTTCTGCATACCAGCAGACATTTGTCTGGAGGAAAAGCACTTACTTACATGGTTAGGCCTGCGTGCTTTTTTCATGGAATACCATTTTTATTTGGTGAATAAATGACAAACTATGGCTATTCAGACTTGAGTCCTGGCAGATATTTTCTTGAAAGTGAACAAATGAGCCTATCACTTTAAGGAAAACAAACAACAGTATTTCTTGCCAATAATACAAGATGAGTTTCTGAATGAAAATAAAAGTTTTGGGAATCTTATTTCCCGCTTCTAAACTTGGCAGTTTCTCATTATTTTTCTAGTGATATAAATGGTGATATTAACAAATGTTGGGTTTTTGTTTTAGGGGAGAGATATATAGTGAAATATATCAATATTTGGAGGACTACATACACAGTGACTCAACTGGTTCAAATCATCATCATATATTATAAATCATTCCTAAGTATAAAAGATCAAAAGACAAATATGTTAAAAAATATGACTTCAGATTCTTTACTACAACTAATTTTTTTTTGAAGATTTATGCATACAAGAATTGAGGTACAGGCCAGAGGTGTGGGAGGTAAGAGGATTCACCAGAGACAGAGTGGGGAGTAGAACACGTGGAGCTACTGAAATACACTGCTGAGGGGAGCAGCAGGTAAGTCAGGAGAGGTCTGCTGCACCATGTGGGTAGCTCCCTGACTGGGGATTGAACTCATGCTGCAGTGCTACAGACAGCTTCATAGGTTGTGTCTTAACCCCTTGTGCCACCAGGGAGGCCCTGCAACTAATTTTTAAGAAATCACCACTTGCTGAGTTTTAGTAAAATATCAAAGGTGATTCACAATTATCAATAAAGGCTATAAAAGCATTCCTCCCTTCAACATGTATCTGTGCAAAGTGAGATTTGATATTCTTTGTATATTTCAACCAATAACTTACTACAATAGGTGTAATGCAGAGACAGATAAAATGTTGTCCCCTATTCGTCATTTAACAGTCTATGTAATAACTCTTCTCACAATTGTTCTGCAAGTTATTTTCACAAATTATATTAACATGTCAGTTTATCATTTTAAATTAACACCTTAAATCTTTTGTTTTAATTTCTAATATAGTAAATATGTATACAGTACACACATAACTAAAAATTCTTGGGATCTTCAATTTTTGAGATCAAAAGGGACCTTGAGACACAAATATTTGAGATCTCTCACCTCAATTCAAGTTTACTATTTTAAAATGCACATTTTGAAACTCCCATTCCTGGATTTTTAAAACCAAAAATAGGATCTACCTATGCCCTCATGTTCAGTTTACTGAGGGATAGACATGAAATTATATATAACATTAGTACCAAAGTAATAAATAAAATAGGATCTAATAATCCATAGGCCATCTTATAATCAAAACAAATAATAGTAATTTCAAGAGCTGAATTGGATTTATAATATAAAATATTTAAAACAAAAGCTGAACTTGCAGGGCTAACTAGTTTCATATTGTGAGACATACATATGTAATAAAGATATAATAAACAGGGCCTCCCCGGTGGCGCAGCGGTTGAGCGCTGAGCGCTGGGTTGCGAAGCTGCCCGCGGCCTCTGCGGCGCCGGTTTGATCCCCGGCTGCTCCCCGGCCACCGGAGGAGGGTCCCACATGGCGCACAGACATCTCCTGCCACACCCACTGCTCCCCTCAGCAGTGTACTTCGGTCCTTCTGCCTGCTCGGCTCCCTGCTCTGGCTCTGGTGAATTCTCTCACCTTCCCGCGCTTCTGACTGTACCCAGTGCATGTATAAACAAAACAAATAAATAAATAAATAAAACATGCCTCTATAAAAAAAAAAGATATAATAAACAATGTAAAATTAAGGCAAAGATTCTGTCAAATTTAGTGTTCTCTGGCAAAAATATGTGATCTGATTTTTCTGAATAATCTTTGTTAAGACAAATCATACAACCTTTGAAAAGTATTCTAAAGAGAATGATTATACAGTAGGTTAGCATGTCTCTAAGAGAAATTATAAAGCAGCTGTAAAACATCTTAAGAACAGATACAAAAAAAATGTTTAATGGTCCTCCTGTTCCACTTTATTATCTCCACTGCTCTTTGTCATCTTTCAACTAAGAATGCTGTGCAAAGCCTACATTTTCTAGTAGGCAGTAGAAATAAAGTAGTGGGGGCAGCACTTAACGAAAGCAAATCTGATTTACTCATCCTTGCAAGATTATGATTTCCAAAAAAATCCCATGCAAGCACATTAATAGAGGGAAACAAAAGATACCAAGTGGTTGGGATAAGGAGAAAAAATAAGGGCACCCAAGGCCTCGAGAACCTTTGAAAAAAACTGAGAATACTGCAACAGAGGCCAAGAATTTTAAGACAATCAACTATGACCAAAGGTAAAAAGAAAAACATCACACACACAAAAATTTAGAAATAGTCATTCCAAAGCCACAATCAA